ATGAAACAATCTTATAACGCATGATATGAATCTTGTTTCACACTTCCATCTCATACGAACTTAATCTTAATTTTTAATTCCATAACATTTATAATACTGCTATAATACGGCCATATTCCACGGCATATAAAATAGTTCGATAATTTGTTATAGAATATATTAGATTATAGAACGTCATTATCATCATTGTTATTTTCATTTCCGTTAGCTTAAAAATAATCAAAGTAATTTATGTGTTCCTGCATTCAGTGAACTTCATGTTCCTTTATTTTGTATCTAATCTTTGTAAAGTATTGTACAAATTTTGTATAGTATCACGAGAAATTAACCAACTGGTAATTGTACAATTTCATTATAAGCAAATACGTCTGCTCGAAATCATCAAAATAATATCATCAATCTTATTTATAAACATTGAACAATACCTCAGCATAATGATATCTTATCTTAAACATAAGGTCTAGCATCATCTTTATATCATCGGTCTTATCCTAGTACATTTTCTTTCATTGACATTCTTCTTTCCATACACAACCAACGATATCAGCTTGATGAAGCATTAATCTCCATGAAATTATAATCTCGATTATTGGTCTAACAATCACGAAGTTAATGTGATCTCATTGGAAATCACTGCTTCCTTTATTTTGCAGCTAGTCGTTGTAAAATATTGTACAAATTTTGTATAGTATCACGAGAAGTTGACGAACTGGTAATTGTACAATTGTTTTATTTTCTTAAACAAAAAAGTTGATTTTTAATATGAAATGAAATTATTTGTAAATAAACGCATCATTTCTGCTCATAAACATTGTTTTCTACTCAAATTTCAATTGTTTGTTCTCTTTATAGCAATTTATGCAAATGTCATTCTGTTAATGTGCAGTCAATACACAAACTTAGGCGTTGTGCTTATCTGAACTTATTAGCATATAAAGGGTTCCAAAACAAACAGATATTGCCTGATAGATGAAGAATTTATTAGGTTTCTTATGAACAATACATTCAATTGGGACATTTTCTTGAATCATTCACGGATTTTGGGATAGATACGTTGAATCTAGTTCGATTGCAGCTAAAATGAAGTGAAATTACTATGTGTTCAACCAAAATGTGAAACATTTTGATGGAAATTTTTTACTTTCTGTTGCAACAACTAGTTGCTAACATACTGATAAAGTTGCTTACTATTAGCAAAAAATAAAGCAAAGTCACTGTAATTTCCCCTTTGATATAATCCGAAATCAACTATTTCTGTTTACTGATTCATGGAAGCGTCAAATTCTCAATTATTCCCTCATACAGATTCAATTGAACAGGCGATTATCGCCAACCCGAAAAGTTGTTTATCTTTCGGTTTCATGTAAATGAAATCGCGACTCATTTTCTTTGAAGGTTTGAAACAATGCAGTAATACTCTAATTCAAAGTGAATACGCTTTCATCGATAATAACAAATCTCATAAATTCAGATTGTAATTTTATTTGTCACTGATGAATATTGATGATGCCGCAGCCATCAATATTTCTACTCACCAATCTGCTCAAATGACAAGCACCAGCTGCAGTCAAGATTGGCCGCCCTGTAAGCGGATTCTGTTCACGTTTGCTTCAGATGAAGTGCGACAACATGGCATCAGCAATGGATTTGAATTCCTCTTCAAGAAATCCGAAACGTGGTGGCTCCAAGCATGCTGTCCACAGCACAATTGCTTTCTCAGCGATGCGTGTATTCCAGCATTGGTTGATGCAGCCAATAGGTCAGAACTAAAGCGAACAATCAACATTCCTATTATTTCTTTTGTTTAGTTTTCCGAATTCGAATCAAACTGATCCATCATGCTGAATCAAACTCTTTGCATTTTGCTTCAGTATCGTATTTTCATTTTCACATACCACTTCTTGTGCTTCAGGAATTCCAATGAAACAAATCGCATATTCGATATAACCAAAGCATTAGGACGTTTGATGACTGTGTTAAAGTGCGTTCTGCCCAATATCTCTTTTTTTTCAATAATTTGAAATGATTTCTTTCAAATTCTTTTCACATTTTTCTTTTCTGCTTCTTCTGTTTCTTCGCAGAAAATTTCCGGAAATTTTCAATTTNATTCGGAACGCTTATTTCGTTGCATCGAAACAAGTGCCATTATCATACACTGTTGACTGATAAGATGGCTGATAGCAAACAAGGCAACAATAGTACTAATGAGAATAATTCTGTGGACACGAGTAATGCTTCTGTCGTTTTGGTTAATACTGTTGATAAGCGTAGTGATAACTCGGGACTGGTTATCAGTGCTATCAGTGGAGAGCGTCCGTGTGCGTGGATTTTGAGCATAGCTGAATGGTTATTGGTGGATTCAGCGAAATGGCCACGAAGTCATTTCAGATGTCTCGTAAGTGCTTCAAATGCTCCATCGCTATTGTTTTTATTCATGGCATTTCTTTTTTTTTCAGGAAATTGAGTTTACAAAAGGTCATAAAAGAGGATTTCATAAAATTGAGTTCATCTTTTGAATTTTGATTGAACTTTCAGTTGGTTTTCATGGAGCAATATCCGACGGTGATATGTCAACTTCCCGATAAATTTATTTGCACACTTTATGCAAGAATTGGAAATCCAACTCTAACATTAGCGGTTTGCTATTGCTGTTATTAGCGTTTTATTGTTCGATTTGACTGTTTGTTCAAAAGTATGCGTTCTCAAAATTTTGACGTTGATCATACGGTTTCATAGTGATTTGGGTGATTTCGATTTCTCGATAAACATCGTTTAAGATCGGTCTTTCGAAGAATTACTCATTGTCAAGTCAATAAATCAAATTTCGTTTGTGTTGAATGGATGGAATTCATTGTTTACGAGCGATTTCAGATCAGTGATTTGATTTCAATCGGATTTTCAATTTCAATCGGAATTCATTGTTCACGAACGATTTCAGATCAGTGATTTGATAGTGTACGATCTATTGAAATGTTTGAGTAAGGATTCAAAACGTTGCGAATTGCATTCAAAACTGTTGACGGAAGTGTTGTGTTCATCAAGTGAGCAAGTTCGAATGGCCTCTCGAGAACGTTTGATACCGATTATGTTCAAAGATAGTCAACTAACGAAATGGATTATCACACGTTTTGCCGTTCATTTGGCCGGTACGATTTGATTTGATGATTTATGAAAAAATTCTCGTTTAATCGGACGAATTACATGAATTCGTTTGATTTTATGTGAAAACATTAGGGAACTTCTGCGATAATTCTTCTTGTAACTAAAATCATTTGAACGCAATATTTTATATCTTATACTCATCTTCTTACATTTTATCCTCTCTTTTGAACGTACGTATGGCTGAATTGTCAACAGTTAAAACATTGGAATACTTAAATTCGTATCGTTGAAAAACGCCCTACAATTATAATTCTACATAGGCCTAAAAGTAGGCTTGTTTTTTTGCTCTGGAACAGTATTCATAAACGAGTCCAAATTGATCTAATATTAATCTTAAATTTGAACTTGACTGGTTGTAAGCTGTCACAGAATTAGCGTTTGTCGAGGCACTTCAGTCATATCATTACCATTTGACATATTTGAAATATATATGGAAATATCAGCGGTTTTTGTTGGAATCACTTGTTGTGAAAATTCCGCTTCATTCAGAAGATATCAGTGATGATCGACGATTGGATGCAGTGTTATCGTTATCCAAATACTGCATATCGCATCAGAAGTCATTTTCGAACGCTTCCGAATATTGTAAATGGAGCGATTTCATCGACGAAAAGCGTTTCGCTCAAGCTTTATTGCATTCGCAATCATTCGTCAGTTGTTCTCGTTGATTTTGAACTGTCACTAATTCCAAAACATTGCTGATTATGATGAAAAATGATATGTTCAAACTGATAATACTAGATTATTTGAATAGGTAATAGTTACGGAATATGGTTATGGAATATCAGTGATGTTAGCTTTTGTAAGGCAGTTGAATGGAGTTGAGTTTTGCTGCAGTAGTCTCGTCTTCCAGATACGTCTCTCAGCATGGTCTCTGATCAGTGAACATCCGAAGTTAACGCTTCAAATTCAAGAGCGAGAAGTCGACTTCATAAAAGCATTTCTGCTAACGAATATGGCTGAACAATGTCCATCGACAAGGCAAAAAATTCTGGCTGGGCTCAGGAAGGTTGATTTTGTGGTTGACAATTATATCATTTCTGCGTTGATTCATTTGGTGATTTGCTTAGAAAAAGAAATCAAATCCATTGATGATATGATTGATAATAACTGTAGTAATATTGATATTTGTAATTCAGTGATAATAGTAGCAATTAGAAAAATGTTAATGGCGATATATTGATACTAATGATATCTGTCGTAGTAGCAATCATAATGATAATGATAGCTATAAGAGTAATCGTAGATGATGTTATAATCTCAATATAATCTTGTTAAGGTGTTCATCCGCCTTCGTGAAATCTCTCAATCGCTAATGAAACAACAACAACAACAACGGAAAACCTCAAATGAACACGATACTACGGACAGTCTCAGTCATCACCCGCTGTTGAAATGCTATACAAATTTTTTGATTTGGTTGAAAGATTTTTGTATCGAATGCCTGGATTGCGGTGCAAATTTTAGCCGTCGTATAATGGCTCTACACATTCTCGATTATATCTTCAAGCAACCTTTCTTAAGAGATCAAAACAAAGGTACGATCTTATATTAAGTTGCATCCAGCAGACAGTGATTGTAATGTAATAAACGTTTCAATTATTCGAAGATTATGAAAATACGAAAAGAGAACTGCAAAATATTGCAAACATAATAGTATGAGTTTCATTCGTTTGTTCACTTATTTGTGAACAAATAAAATAAGGATAATTAACACTGATAACATATCACTGATATTATCGCTATTATCGGTCCACTACAAAAGTTACGGTAGACTAATCATTTTAGTGGGAAGATAAGTCGATGTGTGATTGATTTCTGTGAAAAACGAAAGATTCACTCTTCTTTTCATTTATTTTCTTATATGACAATTATAGACGAATGTATTTCGCACCTATTACCATAATTTTCATAATTATGTTTTTAGATTTATTCTTCAACTCGATCAAGAGACAGTTATGTTTGAGTAAAGAGGATCATGCAAAACTCTTGAGCATTCTGGACGATTCGTATCAGTTATGTCAAACGCTTGCCATTGATTTGCTGGTATCAGATGATTGTTGTTCTGATCAAAATTTCACCGTTAGTTTTTTCTTTAATTCTTAATTCAATTCAATTCAGTTACTCGATCATGCGTTTTTTAAACTTATTTATGTTGTTGTTTCGTTTACGCATTTGTTTATTCTTTACAAAGTCTTAAATAAGATGGTGAATATGATGAGTACGATTGAACGGATGGTTGATCGACTGATTGATCTAATCGATTGCGTATTCTAGAAATTTTGACAACAGTCAAATTTTTAGGATATGAGCGAGTTCCTGGCCGAAACGAAGCACGTGATGCTGTCGTCGGTTCGCTCGAACAATTCGGAGTCGGCCAGCTATCGAATTCGATATTTCATTTTCAAAAGCACGCGATCAGATGTTGACGCATTATTCAAGTATCTGATTGCGTTGTGTGTGCAACGTATTCAGCTTATTGGCGATAATCTGCTGATGTTGACGAATCAAAATGGTTCTTTGCATCCAATCCTGAACGCAATCGCCACCATTGTTGAGTGTATGCAATGGGATAAGTTGAGGTGTGCTATGTTCTGTTTCGTCACTATCCATCATTTATATTTTTCATTCATTCACTTTTTGACTTTCTATCGTTTATTCCTGTCTGCTTAACTTATCCGAGTCAGCAATTTCGTTGAAGTGCCGATGAATCAAGAGAATGGCGTCACAACATTGCCGAACTCCTATTGCCTCTGTGCGCTCGAGTTGGTGATTTAGTATCGCCTGTCGTACGGAGTATGTCGCCTGAGGGCTACCTACCTGAGAATTTCATCACCGATAAAGGTATTTGTTCCGATCATTGAGCACTCTTATCATAGAAGTCTAGCGCAAAAGGCTGAAACGTTTTTGTATTTGTATTACACATCTGATATCACACAAAAATGTTTTCATGCTGAGAAAATTTTTTTGCTAGAAATCTGTATTATATCCGTCAAAAAATTCCGTATGATTTCCGCATGTGTTGTTTTCCAGTTGCATTTGCAATCTTCGATAAATTTTCTTGCAGATATGAGTTGTGTATCTGATTTGGTATCGTTAGCAGAAACAAGTCAGTTGTTGTTAGTGGGTTGTTGGCGTGCACACAAGCACATATCAACTCTTTTGCACTCGATTGCCGAAAAGGTGTTAAATTTCGTTTTTCGTTATGTTATCAGTGATACGTGATAGCGTAATGACTATAATATCAAAGTGATAATGGTAAAATAATCATAAGGCGATAATGAGATGATAATCGGATTAACGGAATCTTTCAGAGGAGAACGTTCATTGAATTTTTATTGAAAAGCACCCAAAATTGCAGGTACCATATCCTGAAATGATATCAAGTGAGGTTGTGGGTCGAATCGGTGACTATTATTGGTTGCATTTAACTGAATGCAAACACTGTGGTGCATTCGAGTTGGCCGTTCAAGGTTTTGAGGCGTTATGCAAACGATTGTGGAAGATTCAAGAGAGGCGACGAGATTGTTCGAACGATAAGGACAAGGATTTACCGAATCCTGAAAAGTGGTTAGACGATATCATTGTGGCTATTAAAGGTGGAGATGGTGAGTGGTTTTGCTCAAACTCATTGATGTTACGTGTTGTTCCCTGAATCCTATTGTTTGGTTATGATCTGGTTAGAAAGGAATAGTTGCATTGATAATTCAAAAAGGAATACGGCTTATTTGAGGATTTTGACGTTAGCAGTTGAGCTCTCTGATGTTTCTTGTGCCTTCATATTGCTCTGAAACTTTCAAATGCAGATTTTTGAATTCACAATTGTAGTGAAGCTCTGAAGCTGGGAAAAGTCAAAGTTTCAGACGAATCAGAGAGGTTTTTGCTTAAGTCAACGAGAAGGGCATTTGAGTTTGACGTGGAAAATTGATCTTTGTGGATTTGAGAGCGGGGGGGGGGATTAGTGAAAGTGGAATGATAAAAATAATTTCAGATAAAACCAAATTGTGTTCTACGCGTCGTAGCGCTGGACTGCCTTTCATGGTTTGTGCAATCTTGGGAACTGAACCAAAATCACGAGATTCGAAATGCTTGCGAAAAGCTTTAAGCAAACTGTTGGAGTTCGATGACCTTACGCCAGAGTTACAGTAATATTTTCATTATTATTCTAGCCATATGTATTGAGTCAGATTCAGATCGACCACAAGAAACTGAAATGGGAAGGGAACTGTTCTAATTTTTTGGTGGTCTAATGTATTAATTGTAAGTAAAGAAAATGCTCACAGCACCACTCGCTTCTAGTACCCGGTCTTTATGAATTGCCATGATGAATGGTGGTGATGTGGAGCATTGAATGCATTTTCTTCAGACTATCAGATCTTGCAAAAACTTTTGCGCTAAGCTTGTTGTGGTTCGCCCCTGGCTACGGGTCCGATCGAAAATATGCATTTTTACGTGCGATTTCATCAATACAAATGACAATAATTGGTGACAATATAATCATAGCAGTAATAATTCAATAATCATAATATGAATAATAGAGCTGAGGGGAGCACTTCCAGGGTGCATAGTATCAACGTGTTGCGTTCAATATTCAGCGATAAACGTTTATCGGAATCGGTACTGTTTGGTTTGGAAGAAGCGTTGTTCGTGTCACTGAGTGGAATTGCATCGGTCTATTGGCCTGTCCGGAATGCGATATCACAGTTGTTTTCAACGTTGCTAATTCGTATTTTCGGTGTTTCAAGAAGTGCGCAACGAACACTGAAGGTGCCAGAGAAAAATCGAATGTCCGCTTATGAGTTCTTCTCGAGGTAAGCCGATCGATCACTCGATTAACTGAGGAATTTAGCTGACTCTTTGGGATTTATCTGTGATGAGATGAAGCAAAATTCACGACAGTGCAAGTGATCTTTTGAAAAATTTGTTGAGAACGAGATTGACAAGAAATGAGATACGATGAGAATATAAGATGTCAATTGTTGAGTTTGAGACACAGAAATGTTTCGCATCTTGAACTATTTCTTATTATATCAGAGAAATTGAATATCCTAATTGCTCTTGTTTTGAAATATGTTTACTGATATTATCATTGTTGTTATTCGTATTGCTGCTGTTATTATCATATTAATTATTGCTACTATTCATTGAATTGATTTCACTTTTGAATGTTCATTTTATCGCTCAGGTTCCCGTCACTATACGATTTGCTGTACTCGCAATTGTGTGCGTTTCGAGATGTTAACAGTGAATTTCGTGTGTTTCCCGTATTGATGCTCCTAACACACTTATTTCCCTCTACGCAAACTAACGCACAATATCCGTTATCGGTATTCATCCTACCAATAATTCGAGTTTTACTTCGAGCAAAAACCGAGAAGCTTCGTCAGCTTGCCGCATATTCTATTGCAGTGATCTGTGAATATCAGGTTTGTTCATCGTGCCGTCGTTTATTCACTTACGTCGCCTTTATAGTCATTCATTTGTTCATCTGTCATTCGCCGGATCGATTATCTTTTCTATTATCAGTTCGTGTTAATCCTAGAAATATCCACGATTTTTTTGGGTTATTTCATTTCCTAGGAATAAGTATGGTTACATAATGGGTATGTGATGTGCAGCGATGTCCGAGTGGTTAAGGAGTTTGACTAGAAATCAAATGGGCTCTGCCCGCGTAGGTTCGAATCCTGCTCGCTGCGAATCCTTTTCCACCCACTATTGTTTGGGAACAATTTTCAGGATGCAATCCGTTTGATCGAGTGGATCCGAAGCATGTTTTTGAAGAAACTGCTACGTCAAAATCAAGTGAATTCGTTACTTTTAACGGTTGGTTTTGACATTTCCGAAACACATAGATGATATTAGTGATGTGCGAATATTCGAGTTGTTCGATATATCTGAATCCGTTCGGTGCGATAGTCTATAATAATGATGCTTCCATTTGTGTTCAGCATGAAAAGTTGAAAAGTTTTATGGCAATCATTTTAAAACTTGTGAATAGTCAAAAAAATTAGCTTTCTTTTTCTTTTCTTCAAAAAAATTTGCGTGAAATCGCTTCCTTGCACAATAATTTCGTTATTTGCAGTTGCAAACTCTCAATGAACATTTTGCGAATCATGAGCTTTGTGATGATATTAAACTAATTGTACGGAACGTAATCGAAGAGGAACACTTCCACTCATGGTACGTTTTCATCTCAACAATTGCTCCTCCAAAGGAAGGAGATGAATTGAGCGAATGAATTTGGTAGTTTTCCACTGGCACACTTAAATCTGATTGTATTCAGTCAAAAAATTCGAAATCCGTAATCATTTACAGGTGTGACAATAATATGGCCGTGTTGTCTTCATTGGTGTGCGAATGTAATTTGAGTGTGTCGATGGGTTCAATAAAACTAATGATCACTGAAAATATGAATGCGTGGTTGACTGCAAGACCTTTAGCTACAATGCTGTTGAATTCAATAACAGGTTCGGCGTTATTCTTTAATACAAATATTTGATACCTTCTTTTTAGTCTTTTTACCTGGATTACCTGGGTTGGCCAGGCTATCAAACGTTTGTAACATTACTGGCCACAGTGCGTTTCCATTCGGTCCTTGATCTTGCTTTCCTTTGCCAAATGTTACCCAGTTTCTTTGTAATATCGTCTTTTCATCTTATTGGAGGTCTCCCGAGTGGTCTTTTTATTTCCCCTGGGTACTCTTGGGTTCTAGTCTTTATTTAGTTGGTGAAAATCTAGCAGCCTGCTGCCCGATCAGGAAGGTGGCTTATTATTGCTGATGTAGTGATAAGTGTTATCAATGCTTCCTGAGAAAATCAATTATCAAACTGTATGAAATATATATGACTGCTTCAGATTCGGACTTATCATCGGATGATCGGAAGAGTATTGTTGAGATTTTGTCGAAGAATCGAAGTTTACGTTTCCAGTTGTGGCGTGCACTCACGAAAGCAAATGTTCATGGCGGAGTTAATGCGACGAGCATAAGTATGGAATTATTGCGAATGGCTGCGGCAGATTTACTTTGTTTTGAGACGCACAAAAATGGCGTTAGCAGTAGAAATAACTTGGATGAATATACAGTCCAAAATGTTCGGTTCAGTTTATGATTATTTAATTCTTTTATCCGTTTAATTCTTTTTGTTGAATTTTTATTTGAATGTTGTTTATTATTTGAATGTTTATTATTAATTCATTTCAATAGGAATGCGCATTTTCAATTATTTTTTTGGTTAATTGTTGATTTTTATTGAGTATTTTGACAGTCTCATTGAATTCTTCGTATAATTTGATTTTCATTCATCCACATCATCATTTGTTTTCAATCATCAAAATTGAGGCCAAATATTAAATTATAATCATTATTGTCTTGTAAAGTTGATTATGAAAAGAGCAAATGAACGATATTGATCAAATTGAAGATTTTACTTGTGCTGATTGAAAACTCTGCAAGGATTGTCGAAGATAACGAATGTCTATCGAAACTCAATTGTTTCATCGCTCAGAATGCTGCATCATTAAGAATGTCAGTTTCATTTCACAACACTCCCACTATGTTTCTTTTTTTTCATTTTGTTCTTGTCAAACTCAGAAGAAGAAATTGGAATCGCATGTACACTGACCAGAATTACATTATTCAGAATTGATTCCAAGCAATTCTCTGCTTTCAATACCGTTATCGTTGTAGCATTATTCTTATTATTGTTATTGTTAATGATATTATTTGTTTTTTCTAATGTCACTGTTATTCTTATCATAGTTGGAACGTTTTCGATTGGTATTATTATCAAAAAAAATCATCGTATTCGTCAATTCGCTTCGCTTCTAGCTGCTAGGATCTGCAGTATGAAATTAAATGATATGTGATAGTGAGGATTTTTTGAACGGTTAGTTTCAGGGACTTAAGTGAATATTTAGCGAGGTTATTGGCAATGAAAGTGAAGCTATCGGATTCGACGGATTTGAGATGGATTCTGGAATGTGCTCGACGAGAATCACTCGAATTGAAGTGTATCGCTCTACAGGGATTTCGAATCGCTTGTGATAGAGCAGGTATAACAGCAGCTCTATGAAGCAGTTGCATTTGTCGTTTGATTGAAATGCACTATTCAACCGATATGTATCACTTATCAATTTCTATTCATTTTGAATTGAAACACGTTCAGATGAAGAATTCATTTTGTTTTTTTTTCATATACGATTCATTTTTCTCTTTTTCTTGTGGCTGACTCTAATTCTCTTCGGATTTTTCTCATTTGCCCTAAAAATGAACGGAAAAATAGTATTTTCAGAAGTGTTTAGCTCCAGGGAAGTGCTAAAAATTGGAGCGATGCTGTTGCAAGATGAAGAAACTGCTGTCAGGGAAGAGGTAGGTAAAGTTGACTAGAAAGAAGCATTCAACTTTCAAATGCAAAATTTTTCTTTTCAAATACTCCTGGAAAGGATAATTTTTTTGGAAAGAATAATTTACCTGTTGATATCTTTTTAATCAAATTCTGGGAATCATTAAATGACTATGAAAGACGATAAAATATGGTATCATTGATGTCTGCTAGTTTGAAATCGTCAAAGAATTTAGTTTTATGGATTTTTTGGAGCAGTAGCAGCATCACTTCTTCGAGCTGTTGAAACGTTTGTCGATGTTTGATTGTTTTTGCAGAGTGCTTCGATATTGTGCGAGTTTATCGCAGAAAATGTGCGGCGCCATCAAAACGATACGAATGATGAAACGACAGGTGCACCAAAAACGCCATCGCCAATCGTTCACCTGAATGCTCAAATAGTATCGTGGATACTTCACGATAAAATTCCAAATCTTCACGATGCTATATGCGAACATTTCGCGATCAGTGCCGATTCAACGAACGATACCAATCGCTTGTTCGATGCGTGTGCAGTTAATCCGTTTGTAGAGCCGCATCCAATTGGTAAAGAGCACTTTGAGGTACTCGAACGAATTGGTCTGGTGAACAACTGCTTAGAGCTGCGTTTTTAGCAGAATTTCTAAAGAATGTGATGTTTGTGATGTAACTAAGTCGTTCCGAAAAAGTGCAGTTTACTGACAATTCAAAGTTGTGATGAAAGTTTTNATTACTGACAACCGAATAGCACGTATTATGCAAAGAAACGAATTTTTGCTCACAGTAACAAAATTTGATATTTGAAAATGAAGTTGTTTCTGTTAATATTGCCATTATTATTCATTATTATGGAAGGTGTTTTTAGTCTTATTATTGTTATTACTGTTGTAATCATTGTTATCTTGTTCATTGTTACCATTGTTGTTATTTTTGTTGTTGTTACTGTATCTGCTTTCTTATTATTGTTTAATTATATCATCGATTCCATTATTATATTTCTATGATTATCATTTATTTCGTATCGTTTTCTGCTGTTAGTTTCGCTGATATTGGCATTATTACGATTACTATTACTTTTTTGTTGCTATTTTTTTCCAAAATGTTCATTGTTGATTATTCCA